GTTTTCGTCATAAAGACTTTTCATTTCATGGAGAATTTTTTCCACTGGTTTGGTTTTTTTCACAGGCTTCTCATTGGCATGATAGTGAGTTGCTGGTCCACATCCACAGACTAGGCAATTAGCAGATCCATTCATACATGCGCAACCTGTGAAGATTTGTGATTCTACATCGGCTGTGAATGGAAGACTACAGCGTTCATGACAGACTTTGTCAGTATGATGCATGCAAATCGTATTGTAATATGAGGTTTTCTCCATTTCCACATATTCCACTTCCTCATTCTGCTTATATTTGGAATACTTCTCTACATTTTCAGTAACTTCCTTGTGAGCTTCCTTAGCAGAATTCAGATTGTTCTGCGTATCCTGTAGTTTCTTTACTTCGAGCAAGATTCCCGTGATCACTGACTTGATCTTATCTCTCTTCTGGCGCATTTTCCCGAACGCATTAGCAGCAACAGTACTCAAGTCGTTCACTCTGAGTATCATATTATTGATTTCATTCATTGATTCTTGCCAATCCCTCAGGAGGCCTGCCTTCCTTCTTCCGTTGTTAATCCACCACTTCTTTGATTTACTCATGGCAGAGTTATTCATGTAAAATACATTTTCTTGTGAAACCGTCCATGGTTTGAGGGACTCAAATTCGAAGTTGGCTGAATTCTCTGAACAGTTAGTGAGGACAACTATGAGATTGTTCAGGAGGGTGTCTGGTACAGAACCTCTTAAACGAGTTAGAGTGTTCCGCAGGTTCACTGTTTGTCTAGCTACCGTACCATTCATGACAAGAATGATAGCGGTCATATATCCAGTTCCCTCTGCAGCAATCATAATTTTTGAAATATGCAGATCATCTCGCTCTGTTCCTTCGGTATCACTGAGACCAGGGGTGTCGATGAAGTTGTAGCGACGATTATCTTTTGTGAAACCATAAGTAGCACACTCACTGGTCTTGCTCTTGGTTGCATCGTAGAGATCTTTCTCGGAGGATTGATACTTCTCTGTCTCCTTGTAGTGCTTTGTAGGAATTGCGATTTTGGGTTCTTCAGGTGATCCATTATTGAAGTAGTTTGTCAGATAGTTGATCAGTGTCGATTTCCCTGAGCCTGTTTCTCCAATTAACAGGATGTTATAAATGGAGGGAAGATAGGTTTTCGAGGTAACATCGGGCACCATTTTGTCGGGATGACCCTTACCACCATTGCTGTCTTCTAGCTGTTTTGGCGGCGGTAGTAGCCATTTGTACAGAGAACCTGATATTTTGTTATAGAAAATTCATTTACAAAAGTGTATATTACCAGAAATTTTTGAAATGAAATTCGAAAATATTCCCATACTGAATTCTTCCTGCTGGTTTATTCCGTGTAGAAACTCTGTAAGAAGATTAGCCATTCAAGATCTCGAATGTAACTTATACGG